CTTCCTTTCTTTCTCTCTCTCTCTCCCTTCCTTCCTTCCTTCCTTCCTTCCTTCCTTCCTTCCTTCCTTCCTTCCTTCCTTCCTTTCTTTCTTTCTTTCTTTCTTTCTTTCTTTCTTTCTTTCTTTCTTTCTTTCCTTTCCATTTTTCTTTGTGAGGCAAACAACTTCTTTCTATGCAACCATGGTTGGACTAAACTTTGTATATGCATGAGGCTGGGCTTGAACTTACAGTAATCCTCCTGCCTGTGCCTCCTGAACACCAGGATTTACAAATGTGTACTACCATATCCACCTTGTAGTCCCAACACTTGGGGGGCTGAGGCAGGAGGATCCTGAATTTGAGCCTCTGAGGGGGTTGGTTCAAGTTTAAGGAGGTTAAGTGTGCAGCTTATGGTCATAACTTGCAATGATAGATCTCACTGAATTAGTGACCACTTTCTACCACCCTTCATTGTTTCTAGAGAGATCCAGCAGCTCTTGTTAAGGCTCTGAGATGAAGCGGGAGAAGGGAGACAGACAACATAGATGTAAATATAAGCTCCCCAATTGTGAACCACCTCTTCTCTGCCTTGTCTCTTTTGTGTTGAGAAAGTGCTCACACTGTGATTCAGGTTGAACTTCTCACCCTGTAATTCAGGTTGACCTTAAACTTCTCCATTCTCTGCAGTGCTGGGATTACAGACTTGTCTCTTAATTCTGTGTGCATAGGATCTTTTTACAAATTTATTTTCTTCTATGTGCATGTGTGTGTGCCTGCTGACAAGTATGTACACATACAGCGTACATACTGACAAGTACGTGTGCCATGTGTGTTCAGTGCCCTTGGAGGCTGGAAGAGGGTGTTGGATCCCCTGGAAGTGGAGTTACAGGCAGTTGTGAGCTGTCCTGTGTAGGTGCTGGGAATCAAATCCAGGTCCTCTGTAAGAGCAGCCAGTGCTGTTAACCACAGAGCCATCCCTCTAGTCCTGAGCACAGTATCTTATCACGGTTGTCTTCTGTATCCTTCCCCTTCTTTTCAGCGAATGTTTGGATAGGATAGATACTAAATCAGCAGTGAGTTAGTCTTAATCATTTCTTATGGCATATCCACTAAGTACCTGGGCTCCCTAGAGCTGAAAATCCAGATCTCTTATTTATTTTCCATTTTTTAAAATAAAACAATGTACATTTATGGTGTATCATGAAGTTTTGACATTGTGACATGTTTACAGCAGGCATATGAACACACTTGTTTCCTCATATAGTCACCGCTTTGTATTTATGTGGTGTGAGCATCTGAAATCTCTCAGCAAATTTCCAGCACCAGACATGGTGTGACCAACTGCAGTCCCCACGATATGTTTTAGATCTGCAGACATATTCACCCTGGGTGGCTGCAGCTTTGTGTACCCCCTGGGCCACCGTCCCTCCATGCCTCCACTTCCCTGCCCTTTATACCGCAGATCTACTCCTTGTTTCCTAAGGCTGCACATATTCGTGAAGCCATGCAGCAGACAGTTCTCCCTGTCCGCTCTCTATTGCTTATTAGTGACTTCAAGCAACTTGCTGTTTCCTTTGGTTCTCAGTCTCTTCCTCTGTGAATTGAGAAACTGCACAGAATCCATGTTGGTTACTCAAGGCATTTAAGATATGATGAAAGCTATGATCTTTTTTTTTTTTTTTTTTTTTTAATTTTTAGAAACCTGGACAGACGTATTTGTGGGCTTCTGAGTCATTGGTGCCAGCTCTCATCAACCCTCACACCTTCAGTGTGTGTTTATAGATGCCTCTCTGATAGGCACACAGTCCTCCAGCCATGGGCTACCCATCCCCCTGGCCTGGCCGGGTCTTGATTTCATTTTCCTTCTCTCATTGACTCTTTTCCCAAGCTGAGCTGGCTTTCAGCCCAGTCACACTGATGTTATGAAGCCAGTGGCAGCCAAAGAAAATGAAACCCCATTTCGCACGAATTTCAGGGCTTTAGTCAGACGTGGTGTTTCCCCATGACTGTGTGGGTCAGCACTTGGCTCTTCTGGCCATTCCTATCAAAGTGTTCAAAGCAAGGGAAGTCCAGTTTCTAGGCAACTGGGCTCCCAAGAAAGCCAGAAGCAAAGCCATATGCAAATTGGAGTGTGCTTCTTGATTGGATTCCTTTTTCCTTCCTTACATCTGGGACAGCAAGTTGCTGGCTCACACCTTCTGCTTCCAGGGGGCCCTGTTGGACAAGGTGCTCCAGTGGTGAAGGCGTTGGTCCTTACCCCTGTCTCTAATGCCTGCTCTCGTAACAGCTCCAACCACATTCAGACTAGAGGCTTGCAGCCTAGCTCCGCCAGCTCTTCTCACCTTCACCACACAGGACAGTGGCTCTCAACAGCCACTTGCTTTCTGCAGCTGGAGACCACATGTGGTGTGTTTGTTGATGAGAACTGTGCCCGGGTCATAGAGGAGCCCTGACAAGGGCCACGGGTACCAACCAGGCCAGGGTGGTGGGGAACATTCGTTCTTCCAAAATTGCTTATCGGCAGATAACTTTCGGCCCTCCTCTTCCGTGAGAGGAGTGCATTTTCATTGTTTCCTTCCGCGCATTGCTTCGAGAATTCCCTTTTTTGTTTCATACCCCTGGTGAAATTCTTTATTCTTTACGCTCAGGAAAGCTTATTGCGAGAGCACAGCCCCTCAGTTCTGCCGCCCCTCCCCTCCAGAAGGAAGTCTGCTGGAGCAAGGCAGCCTTGAATTTGAAATCAGGTAGCACCTGCTGCCTCTGCACCTTTTGTTACCTCTACTCTTTGGTTTTTCTTATGGAAACTGTGCTAAGAACACCCAGTCCTAGGACACCCAGGATGACCAAATGGAGGCAGTCATGAAATGCCCTATTTCTGGCTCTCAGTGGATACTTAGAAAAACCAGTCCCCAAACCTCCAGGCTCCAGCATCTCTTTCCTTACTGTTCTCTCCTTCCCAAGAAAGAGTTCATGTCAGTTGAGACGTTGGAGGCACAGGGTGAGAAGTGGAAAGAAGAAAGTGATGCCTTATTAACTCCAAGTCTCAGGCCAGACCTTTAAATCAGCTCCAGGGCTCAGGCTAGACCCTTGAATGATTATTCAGCCTAGGAAGAAACCAGCCCTGAATACTCTGCCTGTAGGCCCTGACTCTTCTCCCTTCCCGGATGCCCCGCCCCCACAGTCGAGCACACAGACCACTTTTAGACAATTTTGACAGACAGGCTTATAAAGAAAAAGTTCCTAGGTTCTGTTCCTTTTTTGATCTGGCCCCGGAAAGTCCCTTGTTCCTTATGACTTTCTTCCAGGCTCATAGATGGGCATCTCTGATTCCTGCTTTTTTTCCATGCTGCCTCCCCTTCCCCCCACTGCCCACCCACCCCTCAGCACTGAAGTCTTGAGAGTCTTCTACCCTCAGAAGCTTGCTAGGTCTGTAGTGTTAGGAATGCCAGGGTGGCTAGGGAAGTCCCCTTGGGGAATTTCATCAAGTTGTAGTTTGGAAATTCTACAGTTTAGTCA